AATAACACTTTGATTTGATATAGCATTATAAGTAATAAATTGCATCTTTTTTGGGATTATTCTTCTTGTTTCTTCTTTACACTACATATGTTATCATCATAGATTGTGATCATAGCTTAAATATTCTACTTTGGAATATATTAAGGGCTTTTTGGTATACAGTAGAGCCTCGATTATCCGACTCAATTGGGGACTGGGGATGGTCGGATAATTGAAAAGTCGGATAACTGAAAAGTATGAAAAAATCCATTAGTATAGTATATTATTATATCCCATGTAATTAGTATATTAGTAAATCGCTATTAACCTACTTCGCGTTGAATTTTCATTGATGTTAAGCCTAACAAAAATTTTTTAAATAATAATCGTCGCTATTGTATCGTTAAAAATTAGAAAATTAAGCCTCGTTTAAATACCGGCTCCCTTTCATGGTTGAATGAGTGTTGCCAGCTAAAACACGTAAAAATAATATTAAAGTAGCCAAGACATAGCCAAATATTGTAGCGCCACATCACTAGCGGACATTTGAAATTTGCCGACTAGGACGGTCGGTTAACCGAGGTGTTGGTTAATCGGGGGTCGGGTAATCGAGGCTCTACTGTATATCATAAGTGATGCAGTTTTCATGGTTGCTACTTTAGTTACACATAACTGTAAAATAATACTGATTGAGTTTTAAGAAAATTATAATTAGTCATTTTATAGTTATCTTAATTTGTTATTTAAGATTATAGTTAAATTAACTTTTATTTACAGTTTAATTATTATGTAAATTTTTGCAATTATGAAAACAGCATCCATCCTGAATATCAAACTTAGAATTATTACCTAGGCATGAAAGAAAGTATCTAAAATAATTTTCAGTGAAAGAAAAAGTTTCAGCTAATTTATATTTAAAATATCAATATAAAAAGAAAATTCTTAATATTATATCATATTTCCATATTTAATAGCCCATTCTTTAATAATAACCCACACACAAATAGTAAACAAAGGATTGGAGATGTTGAAAAAATAGTAAACCACGCATTTACAGTAACTGGGATATCATATTACCCATAATTCCCATCAGGCCATCAATAATTTTTCTTGTTATGTTTTACAAAATGACTGTAGGCTGCTCCAATCTATCAATGCTTTGAACTTTAATCGAGTAGATAATGATTTTTTCACTTTTCAATTGGCCAACCTTCCAGCAAAAAACTGTGACAGTACTGTAAAAAGTATCTGGCAATTCTAATGGTAGCACTAATGAAAATGTAAACAACAAAGAAAAGATTCTTTACGCTTGCATTTAAAGAAAAGGTAAGAGAATGCAATAAAATGACCATTTCAGCAGTTTCCAAAAAATATAATATTTATCATCAAAATATTCAACAATGGAAGAATTTAAAGAAAACAGATCACATAATTATCACTAAAGGTGATAAGAAATGTGCACGAATTCAAGATGGTGGATGAAAACCATTTTCTGAACAACTAGAGAACGAACTGTATTTTTGGTACAAAGAATAGGAGAAGAAGAAAATTCCATTTCACGACTCAAGAATATTGAAAAAACAGCAAAAGAACTTTACACACCACTTGAAAATTCTGCTGTTATTTCTGGATTAAAATTTAGGAAAGGATAGCTTAGTCAATTTTTAGCTAGACATGCTAGAACTTTATGTCATGCATGTATGCCACTACTGTATGCCAACAACCACTTGACAACTATGTTGCTAAGGTTATAAAATTTATTATGAATATTCAAAACGTTAGAATAAAAATTAATTATACATTTAATGATATTGTGCGAGATGAAAGTTTGACTGGATCCAGCTTCATCTACTACTTTAATACTAAAGGGCTCTTAAGTTGTTCCTGTTTCTAGTACAGGACATTAGAAATTACAAATAACTATGATATTAACTCCTTAAGCCTCGAGCAATTTTTTACATTAATGTAATTAAACATAAAAAATACTTAAAACCGAAAAAAAAAACGAAATAAATGGGTTAATTTTGAAGAAAAAGCTTCAAATATTATTTTCCTTTGTCTCGCCTTTCTGTGAAATTTGACACTGATGAGTCATTGTTTACACAGCTGGATGACCTTGAGAACAGCTGGAGTCCCGGGACATTTTCATAGAAGTCTCGGGAGCGATGGGTTTATAGTAGGGTGAATACTAGTTGGCCGTATATTAAAATTTGAATTTTTAAAATATTTTTAAAAAATTCAAATTTTAATTGTGATTTCCACCCCCCTGACTTAATTAAACTTATATATAATAAAATCTATTAATTAAAAAAATTAAAAAACTATTGAAGGTCATTTTTGATATCAGAAAGTAGCTTTAAATAACTTTACCGAAGTAAAATCCGTGCACTACAACTTTAGAACGATTAATTAAATTTGATTAAAAAATCCCATTAAAAAACAATTAAGCATTAATCGCATGTCATTAAAGGTTGATTAAAATTGTGATAAAATTTTTTCGCGCAGGTAAAAATTTTTGAAAAAATTTGGAGACCTAAAAAACATTCCAAAAATTCAAAAAAAAAAAAAATTTCAAAAGTGGCCTTAACGACCAAGTTTTTCGTAACACTATGTAACTTGCCCTAGATATCTCGGGCTTGGGGCTTAAGGGGTTGGAACTCTTTAAATGTTACATTAGTGCAACACAAACATTTTTGCAAAATATGAAAATTGATATGGCTATTAGGTCAGAAATGTGCACAAAATTTATTCAGCCAACAACCATCTTTTGGAATAAACCATTCAAACTTCACATTCAAGAATGCCATGATATCTAGATTAGTCAAGAAAACTTGTTTTTAACCAATGGGAAAAAAACCACTACTAATTGACATTTATTTACAATAGATTGAGAAGCAGTTTCACAAATAATTGAAAAGTCATTTTGATGATGTGAGATTTCAGTAGACACTAATGGTTCTCAAGATCAATAAGCAATCCAATTTTCAACATGAAGATGCTGATGTGGAGGAAAAAAAAAAAAATTTCAAAAGTGGCCTTAACGACCAAGTTTTTCGTAACGCTATGTAACTTGCCCTAGATATCTCGGGCTTGGGGCTTAAGGGGTTGGAACTCTTTAAATGTTACATTAGTGCAACACAAACATTTTTGCAAAATATGAAAATTGATATGGCTATTAGGTCAGAAATGTGCACAAAATTTATTCAGCCAACAGCCATCTTTTGGAATAAACCATTCAAACTTCACATTCAAGAATGCCATGATATCTAGATTAGTCAAGAAAACTTGTTTTTAACCAATGGGAAAAAAACCACTACTAATTGACATTTATTTACAATAGATTGAGAAGCAGTTTCACAAATAATTGAAAAGTCATTTTGATGATGTGAGATTTCAGTAGACACTAATGGTTCTCAAGATCAATAAGCAATCCAATTTTCAACATGAAGATGCTGATGTGGAGGAAAAAAAAAAAAATTTCAAAAGTGGCCTTAACGACCAAGTTTTTCGTAACGCTATGTAACTTGCCCTAGATATCTCGGGCTTGGGGCTTAAGGGGTTGGAACTCTTTAAATGTTACATTAGTGCAACACAAACATTTTTGCAAAATATGAAAATTGATATGGCTATTAGGTCAGAAATGTGCACAAAATTTATTCAGCCAACAGCCATCTTTTGGAATAAACCATTCAAACTTCACATTCAAGAATGCCATGATATCTAGATTAGTCAAGAAAACTTGTTTTTAACCAATGGGAAAAAAACCACTACTAATTGACATTTATTTACAATAGATTGAGAAGCAGTTTCACAAATAATTGAAAAGTCATTTTGATGATGTGAGATTTCAGTAGACACTAATGGTTCTCAAGATCAATAAGCAATCCAATTTTCAACATGAAGATGCTGATGTGGAGGGAAAAAAAAAAAAAATTTCAAAAGTGGCCTTAACGACCAAGTTTTTCATAACGCTATGTAACTTGCCCTAGATATCTCGGGCTTGGGGCTTAAGGGGTGGATTATTATACATCAGATCAAGAGAGTACTGATATACATAGTATACTGACAGTAAGAGAAACTGATGTAGAATAATAATATTGATAATAATAAATTTAAAATTATTAAGATATTATACAATAAAATTATATTGATAGAAAGGTGTCTGCAGCAGACTAGATATGGCTTTTCTTTGGCAATTTGTTGGTATATGTCATGCATATGTTTATTCCACACCACCATTGAGTGCATTTTATCCCTTAGAATTGAATGCTTGCTGACAAGATTATCGATAATAAGTTTGTCCAGGTAATCCTGTTCATAGTACTAACATTTTAATAATCCAAGCCTTAGTATGAGAAGATTTAAATCGAAATAAAGAACTTAAAACACTGATTAAAATGGAAAGGAAAACATTTACGAGTATGAAAGGTCTACTCTACAATAATGGCCTTGGCTTGAAAATCACACAATGAATTATTAAATGTTATGTTTGGTCAGTTTTATTATATGATGTAAAAGCATGGACTCTGAAGGCTAAAATGATAAAACAATTAAAAGTGTTTGAAATATGGACTCGCCAAAGGATGTTAAAGATCAGGCGGACTGACCATATTATGTACTCCAGAAATCAGACTTAGAGGGAACTGTTAACCTACTGTATATAAAATTTTATAAAACATCATACTTTGAACATGTAACCAGAAGAAGTAAATACAAATTATTACAGAACAACACAACAGATAAAATTAACAGAAAAATGCAATGTGTAAAACCTAGGATGTTATGGATTGATAACATATGTGAATGGATGGTAATATGGGGGATTTGAGGCAAAGAGGAGCACCCTCTAATGATGACAATGCAACATTCAAAAAACTAGTCATGCCACAAGAGAAAAATACCTAAATAGCAACCCATGTCCAAATAATATGCAGGGATTATAAAGATTTAAAAAATAGTAATTCAGGATTATTAAACATGGAAATAGAGTATGACAACAAAACAAAAATATAAAAAATTACCTAAATTTTCAAGAAATGGTTTAAATAAGTTGTAATAATGATCATCTTGGACTTCCTGAAGACATATTATCTATTTTTTAAATATTAAAAATAATAAATTAGAATCAAATTTAAAAAAAAAAGCAATTAGTTATTAATCTTGGTATCATTTTTTATTGTGAATTATAAACAAAGAAATAACTACTGCTTCACACAGCCAAAGTCTTTATTCCAAAAGAATTTCTTTATTTTATTTATCTTCACAATAAAATCTTTAACTATTTTAGATATTAAACCAAAAGTTACTTACATCACATTGCAATTCTTGAATTTCCTGAAGGAGATTTTTGCTACGATATTCCCAATCTAAAATGTTAGGTTCACAATGACAATATAGTAAGCTATTATCCTCCAGCAATTTTTGCGCCAATATATTATATGACATTAATGTGAATTCTAATCCATGCCTTCGTGAATATAAATGCCTTTTTCCATATGAAGTGTATTGCCATTGACGGAGATGGCGAATTGATCTACAGAGATTTTCTGCAAATAATAAATATTTAGCAATTATTATACACAAAAGAATATTTTCAATTTAATGAAAAACTTCTATAAAAAATTATATTGTTTAAAATTTCATTCACACAACCTGAATAATTAAAACTATTTTATGTCCATAATATCCAACAACATGGACTTGAAAGCTGATTTCTGAACTCTTATTCACTATAGAAAACTATAAGCTTAGTTTACACAGATATTCTCTAGTGAAAGCAAAATGCAAAAAACAGAGCTCTCACCAACAAAGAGTAAAAAAAAAAAAAAAAATAGGATAATTTTAAGAAAAACAATATTTCAATATCATATTTTCTTTAAAATACCATTAACATTCAATTTTAATTTATTTAATAATTCAATTATTTCTTTTTTAATTTCAATTTCCTTCTTAATTTTTAATGTAATTTTTACTTATTCACACAGTTTCCAAATGAGGAGCTCAGATGCAAAACGTAGTATGTTCATTAAGAAAAAATTGACATATTGCTTAGATTAGTTAAATCTATGCTCTGGGAATGTTACTATTTGTATTGAAGCATCATATTTTGTAAGTAAATATGAGATCTGTTATTTTTTAGTAAATTCTAATATAATGATGCAAATGACACTTCTTTTGATCATAAATAAGTTCTTTACTTAATATTTACTCCTTTCTAAACTATACTTTTATACTCACTCAAAAATTTTTTAATGCAGTATATATAACTTCATTTTAACATTTTTGATTGTTTTAAACAGCAGTGGTGTGCCGTGACATTTGATGATAGGGAAGCTGTTTCTGTAAGAAGCCGACTTCCAGGGGCAATCAGTTAATTGCACGTTAGTGATGGTCTAGGACAGGGGTCGGCAGTTTGTCAAGTGAGAAGAGCCAAATTGTCATGGAAACAGGATAACAAAAGTACCAGGGAGCCACGTATATGTAATATACATATGTACAGGACCTATATGCATTACAGGCATTCCATGACAAAAATAAATTCCTATTACAAATATACTGAATTATTTATATTGTTATTGGCCAAATGAATAATAATAATTCATATTGTTAATTTAAATGTGCGAAATACGACACACGACAGTGGTGCCTCTAGTGGCCATTTTTGGCATAACGTTACACAGACGGACCAACACGCGTTTAATGGGTTTTATATATGGATATGCTTCAAATGCTATCACTTGCATGCGACTTATATTGATCACTGCGAGTGTCGTCATGTGCGGATGGGCTAAAGAGTGGTAGAGAATATGCCGTACGAGTCACAGTTTGTTCGGTGGCTCTATCTCATAAACTCATAAGTCATAAGTCTGCTTGAGATAAGATGAAATTGGAGTTTATGTCCAAAGAGTCACATGCAGCTCATGAGTCGCTCCTGCCGACCACTGGTGTAGGACAAACGATACGAATGGACATTCATATTGTTTGTTCGATAAGCCAGTAAAAACCGCAGATGTCTCTAAATGTATTTTTAATATCACAATTACATTCTGAATCGCTAGCCATGATACAAGGGCTACAATTAAAAATAAAATTAGAAAAACTTACTTGGTAAAATAAAGTGTGTGGTGGATGTACATACCTGGTACAAAATATTCTTCAATTGTATTAATATACTTTTAAAGAAAATTATAATTAATTAAATATAACTTTGTAAATTAACGTACATAAAAATAACATAAAATATTCTTTACTTTTTAAATCTTAAAACAATCCACTTAGTCAAATAGCTCCCTACCAGTGGCTAATGGATGGAATCAGAGATGGTTGCAGTGCATGCATACACGCGGACTGCCAAATTCCCAGAGTGCCGATACGGGTCATTGTCAAATACCTCTTTTGTCGCATCACTAGTATATCTCAAAGGGCGCGACAGGGTTGTTGTAGATTTTAAACGTTTCTCACCATAGCTGGTAAAAATCTAAATATGTTAAACTTAATAGTGATTCTTTTCTAACTAATTCGTTTTAGGACCAAGTGTCCACAGAAATTTACAACTTTTTGGTCACTCTCATTGAACTGGAAAAATTTCTGTCTTTATTACGTCTAATATTACGAAGAAATCAGTCCCCACAGTACTCGGCTAGATTGGTTCCGTTAAGCTTTCGTTTAAGTAAAATTCCGGCTCTTTCAGTAGGGTTTTATTTAATTCCCTAATCTCTTAATTATTTAACTATTTCATAAGTAGAAATAAGTTGAAACCGATTACTTTGTACCTGAATATCTGTAGTTTCAGGAAAGAAGTGGAAAGACAAATTTTTATGACAACGGATACATAAATCGTAAATTTAAAGAAAATAAATTCTAGAGCTTTTTTTTTGTACCTTGTGCATCTCATTCATTAAATTCAGTTGTAAATGATGCTGCCAAAGTAACAGTTAATTTTCTAACATTGTACTGTACAGTACAAAAATTGTACACGTTTTTTTCTACATCCCATTATAGATAAAACATACTAAATCATAATATCACAAGTTTAACATTAAAATCCATAAGTAATATAAGATGGGTGAGCAGAGTAAAAGCAGAATAAATATATCAAATATTTTAATGGATTTTTTTTAAACTATACAGAACTATCATAAAAACATACCAGTAAACTCCTATTGGTTGGGTTAAGTTATAAATCTACTCACGATTCACATAATCAGGTGAGGGTGGCCAAACATCTAGCAGGCAGGTGGCTAACAGCCCAGAACTGGTCCCGAATAGAATCATTGGAAGCGTTTTGGTGTGTAGCTTCCACCAGCTAAACTGTGTGAGGTTGTTCCTTTGTAAAGTGCATGCGTGAATGCGTATAATCTGGCTGTTTGAAAGATGACACAGTTTCGATGATACAGCGCTTCCATTCTGCCACTGATATTCAAATATACAATAGCAATCTTATCGTTTTTTTCACGTGTAGTATAGAAATTTGTAATAAGATACATAATGTGGTTATAATAAAATATTAATTTTAATTAATCCAAAATACGTTAAAATATGAAAATAATCGCACAATATGTATTTATTTTTTAGAAAATACAAGGGAAGTGGCGCTTCCACCGCTTCCAATGATGGCACACCACTGTTAAACAGTCTTCTTCAGGAAAAACATTCTAATAAGAACAAATTCCTAACCATTTTTTAGAATGTTTTTTAAAAGCTCATATTGTTATTAACAAAAAATAATTCCATAAATAAATAATCAAATAAATACATACAATAAAATAAAATTACATTAAAATAAACCAAAATACATCAATAAATAAATAAAATAACATTTAAATGACAATCATCAGTGCTATGCAGCAAAGCTTTCCATGCTCCTGGAATTACATTAATGTACTTGAAATTAATTGCCTGCTCCTTCAAAATAGCCTTGTAGATGTGCCAGGCTTCTGAATATTTTATTTGTTGTTTCTTCTGTACTCTATATTATTTTAGCATTGTTCCATAGAACAGAAATTGATTGGAGATCAGCCAGTATATACATTGCTAATGCCTACTATAGTTGGATTTATTGATACATCTTTATACCACTTGATTCTCACTGTTAACAATCTCCTAGTAGCCCTTATATAACATAATTCCTTTTTTCTTCTGCTGTCTGTTATGAGGATTATGTAAATTCCTGGAGTATAAAGTGGATCTATTGGCTCTGTCATTATGCAGTAATCTATATATTGTAGGATTCCTTTTAAATGTTACCTTTCTCTCTCTAACTCTATTTAACTTTTGTACATATTATAAAGGGAAGCCCTATACTCCACGACTGTGTACTCATTATTCGTTTCTTTCCTTGTTGCATTTTTCTTCACTTCTCTTGTGTACCTCTTTATTACATCATCTATATTCTTACATTCATATCCAAATTGGTGCCCCATGGTTTTGACATATTCCAGCTCCTTATCTCTGTTTTGTATGTTGACACTGTGTATGGGTTCTTCTTATCCAGGCTCTGAAGGCTGCTAATTTGTAGTTCATTGAGTCGTCGGACATCCATGGAATTAAAAGCAGATTATATGTCAGTTTCTTGTAGATGCTTGTATTATTCACGCCTTTAAGCCTAAGTTCTATGTCTAGAAAATATGCGGTCTTATCACTTGTTCCAACTCTATTTTTAGACCATATTGATTCGTATTGATGTTGTTGATGAAGGTCACTCTGTTAGGCCTTCTCCATATTAATACATCATCTATATACCTAGCATACAGAATGATGCTTTCATTGTATTTTGGTAAGACATTACCTTCTAATATCCTTACAGCCATTTCACATAGTGTCCCAATAGAGTATTAACAAGGGACAAGTTGAAAAAATTTTATAGGCTTATACCACTACCTAAAGAACATCTTCAACTTATCATTTTAATTATTTTGCTTTCCCAAGTTAAATATGGGTGATTATTATTAAAATTTAATCTATTAAAAATAGGTTTACATTTTCCAATAATGCAAGAGACAACGGTTGAACAACAATAAAAGATTAAAATTTAAACATGACAAGATTGTGATAAATGACTGGTATTTTACTCCTTTCCAGACAGCACTATTACCTATAGTCTACACATAAAAAAGTAACAGTAAGAGCCAAAGTAAAAGCATATGAAGTGCTTATTTTCAAAATGTCTCTTGCCCAAAATTTTCAAAATTGAGTCTTTTGGATTAATTGATAACTCCTTTTATTTCTGCTTTCATTTTGTTTCAAAATGTTATATAAGCCATGTAAAATTTCTTTAAATTGTTTAAAAGCCAATTTGGAAATTATGCAATGGAGCAAACTGATTATAACCTTTTTGCAAGTTTGGTTCTTGCCTAGTAAAGCCTGACATTAATCATGTCAAAGTTATCAAAATATTTACTGTATTTACTCAAATGTAAGACTTTTTTTTTCCAGGTTTTAGTATCTCTGAAAATAGGGTGTGTCTTATAGTTGATGTAATACATCATAATTAGTGCTCTCTAGTGTCATGTGTCTTATTTCAATGTCACTAATTCCATTGCATTAT